TAGCGCTGGGACTAGGGTGAATCTCTGGTTTAGTGGCTAGCTTAGACCAGACATCCAACTTTGAGATGGCTGAATGAACCCTACTTGCAAGCGCTTCCTATAATTTAAAAAATGAACAGTCTAGCAATCGGTGTAATACTTCAGGGTATCTCAGAGCCACAATTGCTCTGATGTCTCTGAGCTTAGAAATGACACCAGGTCTTGATTAGTAGTGTTTATTAAAAGCCCTGTGGCACTTTTTACCCAAGCTGACTATAGATGGGTAATCACATCCACAGTTACATAATGAAGATAAACATTTCACGGCATTATAAACTCTCCTGCTGTGAAGCATAAGCCACCCACTAACTGCCTGATTTTAGGAAGAACCCTCTCTATTACATAAGTGTTTGATATGGGGGTTTCTTGCACCTGCCTCTGAAGCATCTGGTACTTGTCACCTTCACCAACAGGATTCTAGACTCGATGGACAATGAATGTGAGGCAATGTGGCAATTTTAATGTAATTTTTATGAAGCCTCTTGGTGACATGAGTACATGTCGTTGTTCTCACTGATGTATCCGCTGAGTTCCTAAGGCTATTTAAAATGTATATTGTATACTCTGCCTTAAAAGTTCATTTTTAAGCTGCTTGATACAAGGTAATATTCGAGGAATTGCTGTACAAATGTGCAAATGAGTGGGCCTATATTCATATGTGTGATTGTGGGTGACTTCTGAGTACATTGCTGTTCATGAAGAAGCAATGAATCGCTGGCAGAGAAGGTGGGAGTACTATTACATAAGCTGGAGCTATCCTGGATATATTTGACTTGTTCTCATATGCTTTGTGCATTTTTCCTTTCTTCAAAGAAAGGGCAGAGCAGGTGTAACTATTGAACATTGGCCATATCTTACCCTTGATTGAGCTCCTCCCTACAGAGTTGAGCTAGCGTAGATTCCTGAGGGCTCTCAGAAGTAGATCACAGAAGTACTACCAAAATGCTTGTTAGTCATTTGAAAGAATTTACAAAAGAGATCTCTATCAGGGAATTTTTATGGGCAGAAAAATGATGGATACCTTTATTACTGAAACAATATCACTGATTTCAAAACATTCGTCAAATCCTAGGCAGGAAACTTGTGAAATGAAAATTCACATTTTCATGAGAATCTATCAGGCTCTGGGATAGTAAATGGCAATGTATAAATCAAATTATTTCCTATCTAGTTCACATCTAAATCTCAGTGGTATTTCTGAGAATTAAGCAAATCCATCAAGTTAAGCACATCCTTGATGGCTTTTTATATATATATATATATATATATTTTTTTTTTTTTTTACAATGAGACATTAACAATATCATATCTAATCAAACAATACTTTTTAAGTATAAAAATTGACAGCATTAGATGCTGCATATGTTCATTGTTAGTGGTACTGAATTTTTTAAACCTCAGATTAAATCTGAAGCTCTCCAACCAATAGACTTTGTGAAAAGCTCTCCAAACATTTTCATCCGTAGCTGTGGCTTCCCAATGTATCGGTTCTTTGTCTTTTTCCTGGTGCACTGATTGCAACTGTCACTGAGTCACACAGCTTGCTTTGGGCCTGCAGCCAACTTGATTACAACAGCAACTTGTGAACCATAAAAAGGTACTCTTGGATCTCAAGGAGCACTGAATGCTAAAGAAAAAGGACACGCTAAATCTGTTTGAAAAAAAGGGTGGGCTCAAAAGTATTTTTGCATCATTCTCTCTCCTGTATCAAAAAAGAAATTAATCAGTAATGGTCATGTTAATTCTTTTGAGACATCACAGACAGCTACAAATGAAAAAGATTTTGAAGCTGTCTGTAGTTCATCAGGCTGCTGAGGCAGTGCCTGATAGTACAATGATTGCAGGCATACAGGTTTAGTGGGAAATGCCACAAAATAATCTTAGTTACTTTCACTGTATTTCAGGAATATGAAAGTAAAATGAGTGCTCGCCAGCTGTCTAGGAATATTTAACATCTTCAGAGTGTAAACAATAAAACTTATAAAAAATTTTTATATGCTGACAGTTGCACAGATGATCTTTGTACACTGGTTGATAAACATACCAAGTAGAAAAGAACTAAGCTATTGTCCATTGGGGGGCCCTGGAAAGCAATATTATTAGAAATAATATCACAGCTTTTTCAGATGACCAACTAAAAAGTTTTTCCCTCAGCTTCCACATCACAGTGTGGCTCCCATCAATAATTTGGGGAAAAATGCTTGAGTTCCCAATGTTTTAATCCATATATCTTAATTATATGAATTAAAAGGGAGTTGGATATATAGATGACCTTAAAATGTTTCAGTCCAGTCTGTGAAACACTAATTTAAAAATTCAGTGTTGCATTAGATAAGCAAAAAATATTCTATAGAGCATTGAGGAGCAAGATATTAATTTGACTTATGTAGCTGTGCCGTGCTGACATGAGCAACCACATTATATAATTTTTCTTCTATATTAACCAAACTTCATGTTACAACTCCCTAGCATGTTTCCCCTCCATACTCACAGTGGGAAGCTGATCTCTATCTTCATACCCTAATTAGGAGGAAACATCTGAATTTCCAGCATAAAGTTATTCACGATCAGATTATACTCATGTATTCTCATGACAACATTGCTGGCTAGCTTAAACAGTTATTTTCCCCCTTGAGGCATTTCTAGACCATCATAATATCAGTCACCATACTTCTGGATAAAGCAGACCACGATCTTCCAGTCTCTTCTCATGACAGGCTCTCCATTTCCAGGACTGGTTGAACAGCCCATCTCAGCACCTTCCTGGAGCTTGAATTCACACTTCTTGAACATGAAACACAGAAACTTTACAGAATATTTTATATTAAATATTGCCAGAGATCTGCACTAAAGGTATTAGTCCTTCCAATACAGCCTATGAATGCATTTCTCTTTTTCTTCAGTTACAGCAGTTACAACAGACATGTTCTGTGACCCCCTACGCTCATGTAGGTGCAAATGAGACCCATCCTGAGAACAGTACTGGAGGAACTCTGCTGGTTCCCTCCCTCCAGCTTCATGCTTTGCTTTCAGCATTCGATGAGAAACAAGTGCACTTTGTAAGCTGACATGGAGAACAATGCTCCTGCACGTATTTTATCTTTTTTTTAATGAGATTTTAAAAAACATTTTGTTAGGGTCAGAGGCTAGATTCTTCCATCTGAAGGCCTTAATGCCACTTCAGCCCTTCGATGTTCCCCCCACTGCCACAGCTTGCTAACATTTGCTGTTGACCTGTTTGTATCAGAGTGGTTTAATGATTTCAGGACATTTAAAGACAAATAAATAATATTTGGAATAAATATAAAGTAGAATATAATTTTGAGGCTTGATCTGATCTAGAATTCAGTTTGGAAGGCATGAGAAAATCTACAGCTTCTCTCCCCTTCTGTCCAAGTTTGAATCAAAACTCTGCAAGTCAAAATAAAGCCTTTGTGAGGAGAAAGGTTGTCAGGTTCATTCAGATCCAGAGATTCAAACACATCTTGGAACAGTAGGGCAGAAACCATACTTGCTGTTTCAGTTTAATCTGCAAATCACAAAGCTGCATCAGAACTAGCAACAATTTATATCATTCTTTACAGTTCCAGTATACAAGGCAAGACATAAAGACTAAACGAACACCTACTATCTGCTTTCTCTCATTTCTTAGATTGTAAACTGTTTGAGGTAGGGCTAGTTTTGAGATTATTCTGTTTCCATAGTGCTTAGCAAAATAGGGTCTTATTCTTAGTTGGCACTATCGTGGGAAACACCATTTCTAAAGAAGTAAGGACAAAAACTGCCCTGTTGTCAATGAATCATGGATAATATCAATGTTTTACATATTTCCTCTTATCATCCATGTGTAAATATATATATATATTAATCTTACACTGCAAATAACAAAGTACATGTATTTGCTGTACAAATACCACTGTACGGTTAATATAATGACCAAATCTAGTTCACAAATATACAAAAATTTAATCGGGTTTTAGAAGCTATTTTTAATTCTTTCCATTGTACACACAAGCTGTGACATCTACTTATGAAATTTCTGGATCTCTGATTTGTATAAGAGAACAAGGGGGTTTAAAATTATATTCTTGATTTTCTGAGACTGATTAAAATGCTTCAGCATAGCTGAATAGTGCAGGTGTAAATTGTCTGCGTGCGGGAGGAAGTGATAGGATTGCTTCTCTTCAGCTTAATCTGACTTACACTACAGCAAACAGTCTATTCTCCTTCACAGAATGTGTGGCAGTCAAGAAGCATGCTGCTCCTCTTGTGATCTGGGATACTGACAGAGTGTTTCCAGTTATTCATCCTAAATGGGAAATGTAGACAAGCAAAATGCAGAACACATGGTGGGAAATGTGCTCTGTGTTTTTGGTGAATTCTTCCATCCCTAAATCAGTCTTCTCCTAAATGTCTGCAAAGTGCCCTTGTTTTTAAGCTTTCAGATACACACATGGCCATTCACAGACAGATGCATATGTAGCCATACCTGCATGCACACGGATTTGCACAGATATGCATACATATGCATGAACACCTATCTCAGTGGTTCCAGAAAAATGAAGCATTTATAAATTAATAAACCTTCTCAGCACTTTTTCTCCCACAGTATTATACCTACTGGGCAGGCTTTGTTGCTGCTGGTGTCAGTGTGTCTACAGGACTCAAAGATATCATTGAGCTCGTCCTTGAATATGCAGATAAAGAAGAGGAATCCAATAAAGAATGGAAGTCCAATAGTGGTTGCAGAGAGAAATGGGAGGTACCTACAACTATTATCTATCCATTGCCTACAGGAAATGCACAGGGAGACTAGATTGTAGCTGAGGTACCTAGATCACATGCTTAAAGATTTGTGTTGTACATTTTTTCCTGCTGTGATTTGCCCAAGGTTGTAGTGAGTCTCTGTGGTAAGAACATGAATTGATTCCAGACCTCTTGATCTCAATCTAATATGTTAACCACACATTATTCTCCTGCTGTTACTAGAAAATGCATACCTGAAGATGCCATATATCTGAAATTGCTGGGAACTGTTATTTGTCTTGACTGGCTATGAATCAATTTAGAACAATAAGAGTAGGAATACTGAAAATGGATTGGTAAAGCATTTGGGGAAATTAAGAAATTTTAAAAGCCCTAAGAGAGAATCAAACAGCAAGATTTTCTTGGAAGTCAATGGAAACAGCAGCTGATTGGCATAAATTTTATAGAAGACTCCAATCAATCCAGTGTGCAAGAGTCATTTTTAATGTAAGAGAAAATAACCTTTGTTTTTTCAGCTACCTGTCTAGAAAGAAACTTGCTGTTTACAGCACAGACACTACATGGACAGCTGCAGAAGGTCATCCAATGGAAAAGAGCTTTTGATGCTGTCTTTCAAACTCTTGTCTTTTTAGATTCCTGTCAATGAAGTCTTGAGGTCTTGTTTGCTGATATGTCCTCCTGAATAAACTTAGCAATTACCTTTATTCAAATTGTGATTACCATCTCAGCAGCACTCCTGTAAGTATAGTTCAGGTTTCAAAACAGCAGAAGAAAGTACATTTATCTTCAGGAATGAGGAGGAGTCAACCAAAACAGTCATTTAGCACATTCATCTGTTTTATGTTCCTTGATCTGAAACTATCAGGAAGATACTGCTGTGGTATGTTTCACAGTGTTAGTGGTCTCAGAGGATAAATTATATCTGTTAAAAAGTGTTTTAAAGTCCAGGAATAGAAAAACTGGGACAAAGACATAGTGGAATGAATCAGTAAGGGCATTTTCTTTGGTCTGGTGCTAAAGCTCTTATTACTTACAAGTTTTCGAAGGTTAGCTGCTGCATTTTGCAGTGGATGCAATGCCTAGCAGTATATTTTCCAGGGTTTATTAGTTTAACATTTATGTAGTTAACATTGACTATAACAGCTAACTTGGACTTTCAGACAATAATTGTGTAAGGTTTTATTGCTATATTGGCTTTTCAGTTGCTATGAATCCTATTGGCAGGAAATTTCTATCCTCCACTGTATCTAATTTTTCTAAAAAATAGTACAAACATTCGTACTGCCAAATATGGTTATGTTTATTTGTAAATTTTCAGTTTTCCTTTTAGAAATTTTATTCTGTTTTGTATAGCTTACAAAAGAATTGGCATCAAATTTTGGCTTGTATGAAGATGCGATGTTGTATTACTGTCGAAGCATTAGGTTATGGCAGCCACACATGTATATGAAACGTAAAGAGAACATATTCTTCTAAATTAAAGAACATATCTTTTTAATATCTTTTTCAGCCCAGCCCAACAGTGCGTGAGACATTATCACAGGAAAGACATTGTTACTGGGAATTTATATTTTTGCAATAATTGGCCAACAAAATACTCTCTTGATCTTGTGATTTAGTAGGAAAGACACTGTTACTGGGAATTTATACTTTTGCAATAGTTTGCTAACAAAGTACTCTCTTGATCTTGTGATTTAGATTTACGTTAAGGGAGCCCTGAAGCGATCTGACTCTGTTACAAACAACTTCAAGAGCTGGTGAATGTAAAAGGAACATCTTCTCCCCACTACTAAACCTTTGGACGTTTCAGCTGGATTCACTCAGATTCAGCTAAATCAGATTTTTTTTCCTTTGTCCTTTAATCATTCCACAACTCTTTTTCCTTCTTCCTATAATGTCAATGCTGTTGATTTTTATTTTATCTTCCATTAGTAATAGAGTCATAATCAATGGCTTTCAGGATTTGTGAGAGCTGACATTTGCTTTGGGATTACCCCAAACTATCAGACTATTACTATCTCTTATGCTGGCCATAACCATATATATATATATACACACACTATATGTATATATATATACACAGTACACATATATATATACTGGTTACATATATGCTCGCTACTGTATGGTGATTACTTATATTAAATGAAGTACATGCAAGAAGCTTTGACAGCATTGTAGTAAATCTTCTGAGAACAGTTCTCTTGTGGTTCTTATTCCTTGCCATCATTCTCAGATCCTTCATTTTCAAATCTACCATTTAGATTTCCACAGACTTTTTATTTGCTTGCAGATAAGGTGAAGAATTGTGAAGTCCGAGAGTTAATGCATGTTATGGCTTTCCCACAAAAAATCCCACAAAGATTCTTCAAACACTACGGAGCAAAGCAAATTTCTTAGGCAAGTCAAGCTACTGTGAATGAAAAAGAAAAAGTCAAATGCCAAAATGCTGATGTAAAATTATATATATATTTATGATCAAAAGGTTCTCATGGGATAGAGAAACACACAATATACGCCACTCTCAAATTACTCAGAGAATTGCTGAAGAAGTCATCCTGCTATTCTTAGAAACAGTTCTGAGAACATTCCCTTTGCTGTATAATCACAAATAAATCGTATTTTATCTCAAAACCCAGAGAGACTCAGAAGCCTTTTCTGCGCCACCTTCAGATCAGGATACCCCATTCCATGATTTTGGATGAATCATTGAATCTTTTTGAACAAAATTGTTACTATCACATAACTACCATGCTGACAATAGATATGATGCTCTCTCTTCCGATTGGTAACTGAATAATCACCAGCTGGAAAATGCAGTAGAAGGTATGAAGCTATGCACAGAAGGCAGGAAAGTCAATATACATCAACCAATGTGATGAAGAACTCTGAGCTGGTGTTTTTCTCTAACTTCATATAGTTCTCTCTATTTTTAGTATTAGACTTTTAACATGAGCCTGAATAAGTATGTCGTTACTCATGTGGAAGCTCTTTGCATATATCATAATTCTCAGACTGCACCTTACAAAGTGTGACCAGCATTTAACGTAAAATCTGTTTCCTGATCACCTTGCCTGCAGAAAATATTTCAAGGAGAGACCCACTATACAGGGTATGACTTCTTCTACTCTTGTTCAAAGTCACTTGAAAGCCGTCTTTCTAGATTTCAAAACTGTTCCTGAGTTCACTTTGTACTTCTCTGATTTTGTATTCTGTTCTTCAACATTCAATCCTTTTATCAGTTTTAGGTTTTTCTCTCTTCTTTTTCTATCTTTTCTTCTGTGAATCATTCTTTTGTGTACCACACATCCTTTCTTCCAAACAAATGTGGTCTGTAATTCTTACATGGGAACTGGATTTGGTGAAATTTAGAGTAATACTCATGAAAAAAGCTACAAATGATTGATACTTTCTTCACAGTTTCACTGATCATAATTTCTACTTCAGACACTCTTCTGCAATACATTAATGATTTAGTATATTGAATATGATGTATACATCTGTCAGGTTTTCTAATGCAAAAATATGTGAACAAACAAGCTCCTAACAATCAGAAAGAGGAGTTGTAACTTCACAGAGAATAGAAATGCAAACCCTTTCCACTAAGATTGACACATACACTAGTACACTAGGCTGAGACTTCCAGTAGACTGTTTGCATGAGAAAGCTTTCTCTCTCACATTTTTTTTTAACCTCTTCTCTCTCACATTTTTTTTTAACCTCTTCCATGTTTTTCTATTTTGGCATGGCCATCTTTAGGCTTTTGAGGTCTGAAATAACCCTGCAATAATACCATCTGTATTTCTTGGTTGAGTTATAAAACACTTAAAACATGAAGTCCATAACTCCCTCATACTTAACAAATTAGGAAATGGTGTGGGATCATATTTGTCTATTGTGATTTTCTTAATGCCATTTGTATATTTTTTCAATTTTTAAGTTTTCATTTGCAGGAGGCTTAGCTACCAGAAGCCAACACACAAAAAGCTAAGCAAGATATATGATGAAGAGGAAAAAAGAAAAAAAAAACGTCTGTGGAGAACAGTGAGAAGTTGGCAGTGAAAGACACTGATAGAAAGTAATGCTCTGTGCCCACTCATCTTCCTTTTGTTTAAAACACAGTTTTAGATCCTATTTGAGATTAGAAAACACAAAACCAAATCTACATATGCAACTAATTTCCTCATAGGGATGGGAGGGGTGAGTAGAACAGATCAAATGCTGAAACCATACTTTGCCACAAGAAAAAGTGTGGAGCTGGGAGTGGAGAGGGTAAAAAATTTAGTCCATATGGTTTAATTATTGACATTCAATGCCTTTGTCATCTGCCAAGCGCAGGGAGGCATAACTGGAAGTATGTTGTCCTTGCTGAAATTCTTGATGGCTGCTTTCTCTATACTTCAGCTTAAAGAGTGATAAATCTATCCCAGTCCAGTGATATGGGACTACTGCGTAAGAAAGTTTTCCTCTTAGTCAAGGCAAGGCTGTGCTCTCTAGCCCCCTCCATTTATCACTTAGTACAGATGAGAGAAGGAGAAGAGAGCATTGCTTACTGTGCAGGATGGTCTGCTTGCCTGTGGCATGTAGCGGAGTACTTTGGACAGCATATTTTTTCTTTTGATCCTGGAAAAGACCAATAACAAAACCACATTGTCCTTGTGAGAAGCCTCGGGTCAGGTCAAGCATCCTGCAGCCCGGATGCATGGGGCTGTGCTGAGCTCACCAAGGGAAGTAGTGGAGGTTCCCGTGTCCGGGGAGCTGGGCCAGGCAGGCTCTAGGAAGTGCATGGGAGCCGTGTAGCACAGGGACCTTGCCCACAGCCTTATCCTTGGGATTCTCTTCGCCTGGGGGTGCGGGAAGAGGTTGGAGGGGCCGTAGGCCTGCTGGTTGGTAGCACAGCAGTGCTCATCCCCCAGGTTGTCTCATTGTTCTTCTGGTGCTTTATCATATCTGTGTGGGATGTGTTTTTCACCACTGTGAGAAATAAATTTAACTCACAGTACTCTTATTACTCAAATGGGGTGAGGCATACATATTTAATATCAGTGCTGGCATTTTTGGAAAGCTTTGTAGATTATGTTTCCTGCTGTGTTCAGAATTCTTATCTACTCAATAAAACAGTTTCTACCCCTGTCTACCCCTCAGGCAATCACATTTGCCAATTTTCAAATCAAAATACTCCAGCTCTTTTGAGCTTCTTCCTCTTAAAAAACCAAAAACAAACAAACAAACAAACAAACAACAACAACAACAAAAAACAACAATAATAATCTATTGCCAATACTAACAAACAGATTTAGTGCCAAGCTTCTGCTTGGTTCAGTCACACATTTTAATCACAATTTCAGAATTGAGTAAAGCATTAAGCACACTTCTACGATCCATTTTTCAGTGAATTATTCAGTAAGCATTAAGTAGTAATTGGCTTGTGTATCTTATGTCAGATCGCCTCATGCTCCCCAGGCCACAAGCATGAACACTGAATGAGACTTCTCACTCAGGCTCAGGTTGTTAATGTTTTCTTACACAGGATTTTATTTCAGGTGGGCCAATAGCTGACATCTCCAGGTACTAGCAAGAACTTTTTAATCCACCATAGGCTGTACCCACACAACTCATTTACAATATTTTTACCAGCAACTTCAGAAAGATCAAGATTAGCTCTCAAACAAACCACTGAAAATCGAAACCAATGCACTTTCATTACCCAGATTTTTATCACTTTTTTTGTTCTCAACTGCAGATAAGTTCAAGTTCATGAAAGGGCAACTGTCATTTAGCTCTCTAAGAAAGGTGCTTGTATATGAACTGCAGTTTTGCACTTCCTTATTTCAGGACAAGCAATAATAGCTCTGATTAGTTCAGGGAGCTGTGTCACTCTCTAGAACAGTCCAATCAATTGACAGTTTTAGTTCCCAAACAAAAGCTGTTTATTAGACATTCAAATACAAATCCATACATGTGCAAAAGTCTTATTTTTAAAGGAACTCATTTAACTTAAAAATAATGCTGTTTACCAGGGCAACAAGCAAACCCCAAGTCCTGAAAACCTGAGAAAACAAAAGTATTCTCAGGCTGAAAGTATTCTAAGTTCACATGGACATTTAAGTGTTTCTATAATTTTGTACAGAGCAGATAAAATATTACTGTTATAGCTCTGAACACTTGCCCTTCCTTTGCATGAGTGTTATGATAGTCAGACCTATACTGATCAGAATAATTAAATCACATGGTGATAATACTGTGAATAAACATTACAGAGAAAATCATATAATTTCTTTCATTAATTCTGCATAGTATATTCACTGGCTAAGTATAAGAATGTTAAGGAAATGCATAATGCCTAATCATACAAATATTACATGTTAAATGAACTGAAAACCTGATCATTTCATTAGCAATTATCGTGCTGTTTAAAAGACCTCAGCTATAGTTAAGTGTAATGGAACATACAGTAAAGATTGCTTAAGTTTTAAATCCACATTTCATGCAGTAAGCAGGGAAAAACTCTGCTTATGCATTACATGACTATACTGGAACTTCTGCTTCCTAGACAAGATCAAACGGGTTAGACTTTTGAGACTCAAGTGTTACCAATTTTGGGTGCCATTCGTAGACAGGATATCAGTGCATATTTACCCCTCTTCGTTCCAGTGTGTGTTTCTGTAGACACACACGCACACACACGTATGCAGTGGAAGACGGAAAGGAATGTTGTAACTCAGCTGTAAATAAGTAACTTGATAGGACACCTGCGTACAAAGAGAATGCTACCTTAAGGACAAGGCAAAAGCTTTATCTATAGTTCTGCCACAGTGAAGCAGACTGCATCAATTGTCTGTTCTTTACAACAGGGATAGGAATATTCAAATAAGCCCCTGTAAGGAAAGTTTAGGCTGCTCATTGAAGGAGTTCTTTTGTTGTAGAGTTTATGCTCACAGTTAACCTGGATTTGCCCATTTTTAGCGCTGAGGAAAAGTGAATCAATGTAATTGTGTCACGAGTTTAGAGTAGCAGCTTTTCCCAGAGGGAATGCAGTGCTGAATGCACAGTCACTAGGGGTTTCAAAAAGTGCTTAGTTTTGGTTAAAGGATGAAAAATACATTAATTGATTTTATTTGATTATAATAAAAAAAAAATAGGTCATTTCAGAATACAGGCACATTTTAAAACTGAGCACAAATATATTGCCAGCTGATGCGTGACAGAACTTTGCAAATAATTGTGTTGCCCCAAAAGAAAATAAATCCAGAAAGTTTTTTTTGTTTTTTGTTTTTTGTTTTTTTTTTTTTTTTTTCACTCTGATACTGCTGGTGATTTGAGCTTAGTCACTCTTCTTTCCTAACGAGCAGCATCTGGCTGCTAATGTGTTAGCACTTATCTTAAGAACATTATTTTTAAGAGTTCAGGAAATACATCCTACAAAAACTGCTGTTGGTAACACGGTTAGTTCTAAACAGAAACCTGCAACAGTGCTTCCCTCCAACCGTAGTCAAAGACCCAAGCTAGGTTTTGGTATTTCTGTAACCACAGCAACCTATGCACTTCCACACTGCTATAAATCAGTGCTGGTTAGCTTTTGTCAGGTGGCCCAACTTTTCTTAGGGGGACACTAAACCTTTGGATATTCTTGGGACTCAGAAGCTCTTTGGTGTTTTGCACATGAAAGAAAGAATAACACAGACAAATGAAAACAAAGTTTTTAGGTAAAAGGCATAGTGGTGGTAGAAATTGCTTTCTGTAACAAAACTTTTTACTGTGATCCTTTGATATTCTGAAACATGATTTCCCTCTGCCTATTTTGTAAGTCAATTAAAAAGAAGAAACTCAGTTCTTACTTGTGTGCTGAATACCCGCAGTACAACTCAAAAATGATGTTACCAACAAAAAATTAATCAAGTGAACATATTCAGATTTTTTTCTAAAAAAAACAAGATCTTTCTAAAGCTAAGTTAGCATCAATCAGTTAATCCATTTTGTTCCTTCTTTTTTCTTCATAAACATAAAATACTTTCTAAGCCCTGATTAATAGAATATTTGGCTCAAAGCAGTACACCAAATAATGAAGGTAAAAAATAAATGACAGTAAACAATCCTCTGTTTCTGTTTGGATTTGTACATATTTCAGCCCATTGAGCTTGTAGTGTAAGCAGAATAATACTTGCCTTGTATGTATAAAAAGAGACTTCATGACTACTTTTTGAAGTCCCAGCTCTCCATTGTTCTTTATCTTGAACAATGACTTGCACTAGTACTGAGTGCAGAGTGTAAAATAGCATCTCCAGAGTTAGGAGCATTTTATACTCAGTTTAGGCTGGCAGTTGTGCAATTGCTATGCAAGAAGAACAATGAGTGAAGCCCTTCAACTGTAAAAATGGATGATTCAGCAAACCGTTGGTTATATGAGTCACTCGTACTCTGCTGAGTAGATTTTTGATTTTAATGACTCTCTACACTATCCTGAGAGATAGCCTGAAGAAGAGCTGTAAGGGAAGTACGTCCTACCCACTGCCTCCCTACTTTTCAGGCTATGTATCTCTATATATGACCCATAGAGAGCTTGTCTAGATCTAGCTGGCAAGTAATAAAGCCTCTGAACACTCTTGGGTCCAGATTCATCTTGGTTCAACAAAATCCACATTTTCAGGCTTATTGTGTACATAGGACATAAATCTTGATTTGAGGACAAGGCTATTTACATCAATAACATGGAGATATTGACAAAACTATTTACTTGACTACAGATATCAAGGAACATATCTTGACTTCAGATGCTGCATCAATGCACCCTATTTTTTGTTTGGTAATAGCATATTAAGCTATTTATCTGGTCTCTTAGGCTAAAGTTACATCCATACTAGTAAAATGCATAGTACCATAGTGTATCCTCTGGGCCTTAAGCCAACTGGCATGGTCTGGTCCTCTCAGTACTGTTAACCTCTCTTTATCCTTCCAAATCAGAGTGGCTGCTTGCAAACTACTATTGCAGGTGGTTACTCTCCTGTGTTTACTCCTAAATTGTGCTTAGGAGTTGTTTAGGAGAAATCTGCAATGGGCAGTGTAATTTAACAGCACAGACATTCAGGTTATAGACTAGGCATGGCCAAATATTCTACATATATTTGTTATTAAAACAAAGAGCAACTAGTCATCTTGTATGCTATATATCAAATTTGTTCTATGACCCATACATAAACCCAACATCGGCAAGTAAATCTGCAGCACAGAATAGTTTTATTTAGCAAATGACCAATTTATCACTGCAACAAAGGCCATTCCTACCAGCCAATTTGAGCAGTTAGGCTGGTGACCTTGTCTTTGCATTGAAACCCTAGGTGGAGGACTTCTTATGCGCTTCATATAACATGAAAGGTCGTTTGCCTGAAATGCTTTTGAGGGACAGATTTACCAACTGACCCCTGAAAATTTAACTTTTTAGTCACAGAAATAAAAATAATCTATAATTGTCCCATTTGTAAAACCCTCTCTGGAATGACCTCCATGTAAATTGAATTGCCAAATCAATTGTTGCATCTGTATGAGCAAAACTCATCAGTTGAAACTGGAGCTTTTATTCTCAAATAGAGGTTTTTGACACAGGTCATAAAAAGTTCAGTCCTATATGAGAAACTTTTCAAAGGTTTTGTCCAATTACAAACCAGTAATTTAGGTTAGCATAACTGTGTAGCCAATTTGTAAGGCAACATGATGCAAGGGCTGGGTAACTGAGTTCACCGCAAAAATTGTAATTTAAAAAAAATAAACCTAATTCTCTTACACTGGATTTATTATTATTATTATTATTATTATTATTATTATTATTATTATTATTATTATTATTATTATTATTATTATTATTATTATTAGAATTATTTATTCTTGAAAGAGCACTGCCCCACCTAAGATTCTTTGGTTTCTTACCTACTCTGTTTACATAATTGTCAATGTTCTGTGTGTACAAAGCAGCAAAGGATTCATTCATTGTCCCTTACAACAGAAGCCAGATGTGCCAGATCTGCACATTGCCTTTTAAAGTGGAAGTACTTTCTGATTAAAAAAATACCTTACAAATTCCAGTCTCAGTCCTACAAACACACATACCAATGTGGAAACCTTTATAAATCCACTGACTTTTCAATTATATGCCAGATATAATGGACTAAAGGTGAACAAGGGTATCCATTTTGCTGGAACTCATCAGGCTACTCCTTCATGCCAGCAAGTATTTCCATCACTCATGAATGGGTAATTACTGGGAGGGCAACAAATGTGGTCTAGCCAGTTTTGACACCCACAAAAATGCTTTATTTTTGTGCCTATGATGAGTCATATATTTAAGTATTTCTTCTTTTCTTGTATAGTTGTCATCCTACTTCTCACCTTGATGAGTAAATATACGTATCTCAAGCTTACAATATATTCAGCTTTAAAAAAAATCTTGCCTTACTACCTAAACAATAGTTTGTAATAGTCATTAGGCTGGTCCAAAGGAGGTGGCTTTTTGTTGTTGTTGTTTTGTTTTGCTTTATATAAACCCACATCTCTGAGCAAGAATCTTTTGCTTATAGTCAGTGCAATTTTTAGGGTAACTTATTTTCTAAGTATCATCCATGCTCGCTATAATAGCCAGGTACTATAAAAGCACTTTACTAGTTTATCTCATAATACTTAACAAAGGAGTAAGTTTAACACTATTTTATAGATGGAGAAATTGAGTGTGAGAAAATCAAAGTGATGAGACCAAGGCCATGAAAAGAGCTAAGCAGAGACAGGAAATAATTGAAGCTGTTGTGTATTTCAGTATTTTAGCCACATTCACAAGGGCTTTATATCATTTTGGATAGAAGAGATTCAAACATTGGATTCTGCCATGAGTTTTGCAATTTTGAGTTTTAAATCTCAGTTGTGGTCTCAGTTCAGATCAGTCTCCAGCTGATTTATGGTTATTTTTGGAAGAATGAAAGTATACTTATTGTGTCATATATACTGGCTAACAGTAAAACATGCTTGAAATCAAAGGAAGTGAGGGTAGCAGAAGAGGGAGCTAAAAAAAAAGCAGCTAAAAAAAAGTCTTTGTTTTTACTAAATGTCATGGCTACAATACAATCCAGTCTCACCAGAAGGTCCCATTTGACTTCAAATGAAGTGATTCTGGAGAAGAAGGAGTGGACAAAGCAAAAGACTTTTAATTCAGAGAAATTAAAAAAACACTGCTCCCACTCCTGGCCAACTACTTAACCACTGCATTTCATGCCACAATGAAGCTGACAGAAACATACTCAACCTTCTCCCAGATAACTGTTTATGCCAAGTCTTTGGAAAAGGGAAAGTGGAAGCTATCGTAGGCACAGGAACTGCCCCTGAGAACTTGAGATTTGTCTTTATACAGAGCCTATCAGCAGTTAAAACTGTTTTTGTCTCACTGTCGTAATGCAGAGCTGCTAAACTTGCCTGAGGGTCAGTGTCTTCATATTACAGAAGAGAAATGTAGACACTACTATAACATCAAGTAAAAACCCCTGATTTGTGGCGTTCATAAATCCAGTCTTCTATTTAAAGAAGAAAAGGGCTTTGGGATTGATTAACTGAGCCAAGGAGGGATTTGGAAATACCAGAGTAGAAATGTCTAGCATTGCTCTAGTTCAAAAAGATAATTGTTAAGTAAACAGAATTTTCAAAGCAAGAGCTTTGCTCTACATAGCAAATAAGCACTTAATCAGGCATGTAAATGGAAGAGAGGCATCTCAGGTATTTTCTGAAGGTAATTTAGGGGCACTTAGGACTGCTGTTATGTGCTCAAGTTGGTACCCCTGGTAGATTTATAGAAGTGGTCAAAAGAGATTTTGAGAAACCAGATAAAAGTTCTTTAGAGCTACACTGAAGACTGCAGATCATCCTGGAAGTGCCAAAATTGCTGGGAAGTGCTTCAGATTTATTTTTTCTATGTTATTCCTGGAAAAAGGGGCCTTTCTTTTCCTTGATTAGTCCCATGTTTGAGGAACATGGAAAGATTCTTGCTAAGGCAAAAAAAGGGTAGTAGGAAAAATCACAGAAGAAGCTATGCAATGAAATACTGAATTATGCATGCATATATTTGAATTTCTACATTCAGAAAGAAAAGATGACAAACTAGGACCATGAGGAAGTACTGGGAAGAGGATGACTATATTCTGAGGGGAATTACTATTGCTCATTTCTCTTCCTCAGCTGGCCAGTCTACTTTCGGGTGAAGTACTGAGAAGATGCGTCACAAATTACATCCCTACTGCTGCAGGAAATCTGCTTAAAGGCAGACTTCACACATGTAATTTGCTCGTGTCTGTCAGTAGTGTGGGTATGGTTAGGAAAGATGCATTCCAGGCTGAGCAGGAAATGCAGTGTCACTGGGACCTGGAACATGTCCTCTGGCTGGGGCCATGGCACGCTGGACCCCCACACCTCCCCTCTTCCTCACTAGTGCTGCTGTCTGGGGGTTCGCATGCCCTTCCAGCTGACACGGGGCCACCCTGCACAGCTGGGGCTCCCTTCATGTTTGGTGCAGTCACTGGAGAAGGACGCCAAGCTGGTGTTCTCCACAGAAAGGACCAAATGCACTTTTGTCCAGTAGCTCTCAAGTCCCTTGCACAGCTGAAGTATGACTTGAACTCCCTTTCTCCTGGTTCTAAGAAAACGTCTGGAGGCCATTTTGCCACGTTTTGTTCCCTGCTACGCGTTTCCTGTTTGACAGCTGTCACCACCAGTTTCCACAAACACTGTCAGTTCCTTTGTAGGATGCAAGTCAGACATTTTATTTTTTTTCCTGTATAAACATTGAACATATTTAGAATATTACTGATTTCACCCCAACTGCTTTTTCCAAGTGTTGTGAGGGAAAGTGTTCTCACCTCCAAAACTGGAAGAAATATGTCCACCTTACATTTTTTCCAAACTTGGAATTATGCATCCATAAAAAGGAATTACATGCAAAACTAGCAGAATTGTCTTGTTAACTATTCACATTTCCAAATGGAAATAATTTCCTTTTAGAAACTGTCTTCCAAATAAATAAAGCTACATTCAATGTATAAATTAAAATAATCTCTGACACTTTACACATCTCTTTAAATAAAAATATCCTCTTTTTGGCCAAAAATGAATATCATAAAAAGCACTTAGAGTAGACACAAACATTTAAAGCCACACTGAGAATTCAGACCATATAATAAAAGACAAGTACCACCAATGTAGGATAATTCAGTGGTTCTTAAAATTAC